ATTTATTACATGAACATACACTGTAGCTGTCTTCAAACACCCTGTAAGAGGGCATCAGATCTCATTGTGGATGATTATGAGCCACCACGTGGGTGCTGGGAATTGAACTCATGACCTCTGGAAGAACAGTCAGTGCTCTTAACCACTGAGCCATCTCACCAGCCCCAAGTTTTTATTAATTTTTTACTTGCTATGTGTATGTATACGTGTTCTAATGGGCATAGGTATACCCATGTGTGTGGGTGTGCCTTTGTGTGGAGGCTGCAGGCTAACCTTGAGTGTTCTTTCATGGGTGCTGACAGGGTCTCTCACTTGCCTCAAGCATACCAATAGGCTAGGCTAGCTGATGGAAGAGACCCAGTGAGCCACCTATTCCTGTCTCTCGCTGTGTTACAATTACCTTGTTTCTTTATTGGTTTTTGAGGATTGGACTCAACTTCTCAAGCTTATACACCAAGCACTTTTTAAGCTAAATTATCTCTCTAGCCCTAGCCTCAGATTTAAAAAAAAATATGTACAATAGTTAAACACATGCTATCTTTAAAAGTTATTGGACTCTATCAAGTGACTTAGGATATCTATTGCCAGGAAGAGACACCAGGACCATGACGACTCTTATAAGAGAAAGTATTTAATTGGGGGCTGCAGGTTTGACTATGTTTGGTCCATGGGAAGTGGCCCTATTAGGAGATGTGGCTTTGTTGGAGAAAGTGTGTCACTGTGTAGGTGGCTTTGACGACTCTGGTTCTCAAGTTCCGCTCAGTGTGGAAGAGAGCCTCCTCTTGGCTGCCTGTAAAGCCCAGTCTCCTTCTGGCTGCCTTTGGATCAAGATGTAGAACTCTTGGCTCTTCTAGCACCATGTCTGCCTGCATGCTGCCATGCTTCCCACCATGATAATGGACTGAACCTCTGAACTGTAAGCCAGCCCCAATTAAATGTTGTCCTCTATAAGAGTTGCCTTGGTCATGGTGTCTCTTTACAGCAATAAAACCCTAAGACAGGGGCTCACGTACAGTTTCAGAGGCTTAGTCCATTGTCATCATGGCAGGGAGTACGGCAGCATGCAGGCAGGTGCTGGAGGAATAGCTGAGTGCTAAATGCTGATCTGAGAGGAGTGAGCTCAGGTCTTCGCGCATGCCCACTCCCCCATCACTAGCTGTGCTCTCTCCTCAATCTACACCTCACTATTAATTATGTCAATATTTTTAACCTTAAATTGCTTTCTCATTTTTTGTGTTTGTTTAGAATTGAATTTAACTGACAATTTGTAAGAGCTGATGACACAGCTCAAGAGGTAAAAGCACTTGACGTGCTGGCCTGAGTTCCATCCTCAGAACTCACATTGGCAGTGTGAACAGACTCAAAGTAGTCCTCTGACCTCCACAGTGCACCATGGCACACAAATCCATACCAAGACACATGTGTTATCACACACACACACATCAATAAAATTAAATTTAAAAAAACAAAAGAAAATTTGGACCAGATGTGGTAGTAAAGGTCTTTAATCCCAGCACCTGAGAGGCAGGGGCAAAAGGATTTCTGTGAGTTCGAGGCCAGCCTGGTCTACAAAGTGAGTTCCAAGCCAGCCAGGGCTACACAGAGAAACCCTATCTCGAAAATGATGATGATGATGATGACATAGATTTTAAGTTCTAGGGTTAATTTTTAAAACATTCAGGAAGAAAGTAAGACCCACCCAAGGTCATGGGCTTGTCAAAGAACTCTTTTTTTTTCTACAACTTTCTATATTTTGAAGGCTATCTTGAACTCCTGGTCCTTCTGCCTTATCTCCCAAGCACTGGGATTAAAGAGCCTGTGTTTCTACACTTAGATCTTCATAACTTTTTACTAGACTAGTTTACCAGGGTTGAAAGACTAGTCCAGTGTGCACCCACATGGTCTGAATAGTGTGGTCATTATTAACATACCAGCATATGAAAATACCGTGGAGTGAGGACACGGTCTTCTTGTGTCCCCCAAAACTAGGTCTACCATTTTCTCTTTGTATGACTTGGCCTTGGGTGAGACTCAGAGCACTGTTCTAAGCTTGTTTCTTCAGCTATGAATTAGGATGATATCTCACGGAATTAATTAATAGGCTAGGTTTGGCACACAATAATGAATGCCCAGTAATTATTCTTCAGTTACCTGTTTCATCTCCTCACTGTGCTGGCTCACTGTGCTACTATGTCAGCTTGATTCAAGCTACAGCCATTTTGAAAGAGAGAGAGACTCAGTTGAGAAAAAACATTGGTCAGATTGTCCTGTGGGTAAACCTATATCATATATTCTTGATTGATGCTGGAAGGACTGGCTCACTGTTGGTGGTGCCACCTCTGGGCTGGTGGCCCAGGGAATGCTAAGAAGACAGACAAGGCAAGCCACTAAGCAGCACTCCTCCATGGTCTCTGCCTCAGCACTTGTTTTCAGGATTCTGCCTTGAGTCCTGCCCTGACTGATATCAGTGATGGACTGTGATGTGGACTGCTAACTGATATTAACCCTTCCCTGCCCAGGTTGCTTTTGCTTGTGGTATTTATCACAATACAGACACCACGACACTTCCCCTGGAAGATAGGACGGTATCTTGCTTGATTTCATTTTAAGTTCTTGCTGTTAACCTCCAGAGGGCTCTTGCAGTCTCTGCTGATCCTGCTATACCATACCTGTCGCTCACTGTCTTAGGTTATCATTTCACTCGTCCCCATCTTCCTTCCAAGTGTTAACACTTCTTACTGCTTACCTCTCAGATGACAACTGCCCTTCTTGTTTCACTGAGAAATAGAAACCCTTTATAGAAGGCGTCTGTACACTCCCAGCACACCCGCTACCCTACCACCTTGTCCCATGCTTGCAATCCTATCTGTAAATGCTGTGCCAATAGCCGAGTCTAAGGCCATCCCTTCCACTCATATACTGTATATGGTTTTTCTTGATTATTCAAGTCATCGCTCTGCTAAGTATCCTTTCTCTCTTCCATCATCAATTCTTCCTTCTTTACTAAATCATTCCCACCACCATTCACATCTCCTACCCTAACAAACTTCTTTCTACAACCCATCCCAAAACATTGTCCAGTTCTGCTGTCTTTGAAGTGAAACCTCTTTCATAGCGTTCTCTGTACTCAAAACTGCATTTACAAATCTAGCTTACATTACTATGAAGCTCCTTGAAGTCTGCATGCTCTATTGTTTCGTCACTGTGATTCTAGTCTAAAGCCCTCTCTCTTGTTTAGACTGATGTAAGAGCCTCCTATTTCCCCGTGGGTTTTCTCTTTCTCTGCTATAGTTTAATCTCTGTCAGCTAGAACAATCCCTTAGAAGCCAGGTGGTGGTGCACACCTCCAAGCACTCTGGAGGCAGAGGCAGGTGGATCTCTGAGTTTGAGGCCAGCCTGGTCTATGTGTAGAGCGAGTTCCCAGATAGCCAGGGCTATGCAGAGAAACCCTGTCTTGAAAAACAAAACAACCCCCTCAAAACCAGGATAGAGAGGATGCAATATGACCAGCCTTCTCACACTCTGCTGCCGTGCCTCCTCAGCCATGATGGGGTGTGTCTCTTCTGAAACTGTAAGCCGAAGTAGAACCTTCCTTATCAAAAGCAACAACAACCACGCTAGAGAGAGGGGCATCATGGCCATCCCAGCACTTGGGAGGTGAAGGACTGGAGGCAGGAGGATTAGTTCAAAGGCTGCCCTGTCTGCATTGTAACACCTTGTCAGATGAGCAAGAAACATCTCAGCTGACTGACAGCTATCCCAAACTTTTCCAAAACAAAACAAAACAAAACAAAACAAAACAAAACTCCTCCTGATCGTCTCCTTAAACCCCCTCCCTTGGTTGTCTGTTCTCAAGCAGGAAGTGGGAACTTCTTTTTTGTTGTGTCTCCTCCTTGGGAGTCATCCTTGACCCCCCCCCCTTTATCACAATACCTCTTATCTAATAAGAATCACTTTGATCACAGTTTGAAAATAATACTCATAACCTCTTGTATCCCCTTCATGGCCACTGTTTGGATTCAGGCTTCCATCTTCTCATGCTTGGCTGACTGCAGCCCCCTAACAGGCCCTACATAATGCTCCCACCCATAGCTAGGCCTGATCTCCTTTCCATCCTCTCTCTCTCTCTCTCTCTCTCTCTCTCTCTCTCTCTCTCTCTCTCTCTCTCTCCAGTTAGGCTCTGCCTGGATCCTGCTACTCTTCAAAGAGGCTGGTCATACTTCCACCCTAGAGTCTTGCCACAGATCCAGTCTTTATCACTTCTTATAGCTTTTTGCTCCAGTGCCATCTTTCAGAGAGTTTGGAGGGAAAGCATTTGCCTAGCATACATGAGGTCATGGATTCTAGCCTCAGGGCAAAAAAAAAGTCACCTCCATGGTTGACCAGATAGCCTTTTCCTGACAACTATGTAAGGCCTGCTCCTCTGTCTGTCCCGAGCTCTCAGCACTCCCTACCTTGCCTTTTCTCTGGTACTTTTTTTTTTTTTTAACCATCTCACATCACAGTCACTTTGTTTGTCTGAGTATCCCTGGAATGAGCTCTGTGAAGGCAGCTTCCCTCTATCTGTTTTGTCCCCACAGTTTCTTGACCATCACTAAATATTGAGTTAATTATTTTTGAAATAAGTTTCCATTAAATAGCTCACTATGTGGCCCAAGTTGGTCTGGAAGTCACGACACTCCTCTTGCCTCAGTCTCCCGAATGTTAGGCTCACAAGCGTTCTCTATCATGCTGGGCTTATTGAATGTTAGGCTCACAAGCGTTCTCTATCATGCTGGGCTTATTGAATGTTAGGCTCACAAGCGTTCTCTATCATGCTGGGCTTATTGAATGAGCTTTGATGAGTTTTCAATTGACCTCTCAAGACCTGCTTCTTCAAAAGTCTTGGGAAATTCGCCTGGTTTTGGGAAAGCTTGAACATGCATAAAAGATCTGAGGGGCTGGCACCTTCATGCTTCCACGTGTCTCTCACCTCTCACATTGTTTTTCTTTTCTCCTAGCTTAACACCAAAACACCTTCAGCAACCAACCAGGCGTCTGACCCTGAGGAAAAAGGTGAGAGGCTGGACCAAGCTGTTAGTAGAGCTGATGGAGGTAAAAACTTGATCCAAGAGTTGTAACTCTAGAAGATGCTAACATGGATGTCAAAGCATGGTTTGAGGGCAAGTGAAACAAGCGATTACTATGGCACTGGGTCTGGCTACTTTTTCCTAAGAAACAATCCTATCAGCATTTTTCTCTTGGTTTTAGCAAGTAAAGTCTGGAATGGTTGGGAAATGCATGTAAAACGATAAGGAGGGGCCAGTGAGATGGCTTAGTGGGAAAAGACGCTTATTTGCCAAGCCTGATGACCTCAGCTCAGTCATGAGGGGGCCCCATATGATGGGAGGCGAGAAGTGACATTCGCAAGTTGTCTGTCTTCAGACCTCCGCACATGGGGCATGCACACATGTTAAAATAATAATAATTTTTAAAAGTGAATCTTTTAAAAAGATTTACTCTATTTATTTATTTATTTATTTATTTATTTATTTATTTTGGTTTTTCGAGACAGGGTTTCTCTGTGTAGCCCTGGCTGTCCTGGAACTCACTCTTTAGACCAGGCTGGCCTCGAACTCAGAAATCTGCCTGCCTCTACCTCCCAAGTGCTGGGATTAAAGGTGTGCACCACCACCACCCGGCCAAGATATACTCTTAAAAAAATGTATATGTATGTGTGTGCACCCATAGAGTGAATGTATGTGTACCACATGCCTGCAGGTGCCCTCAGAGGCTATGAGGCTTCAGAGCCCCTTTAACTGGAATTATAGGTGGTGGTGAGCCACCAAATGTGTAACCTGGGTCCTCTACCAGAGCACCAAGTACTCTTAACCACTGAGCCATTTCTCCAGCTTAACACAACAGTGAATGATTAAGAAGAAACTCGTCAGATAATCACAACCACTGTTTTCCATTAGAAATTGAAGGCCGGAAGCATGCTTTGGGATTTGAAGTATAGGATTTTGGAGTCAGTGCTGACAGAAGGCATTTGTCATTTGATCCAAGAATAGCAAGACTTCTTGAGGCTGCTATGCCGATTACAAGCCTAGCACCCTAACTTTTAGGATCACCAGTTATCTGTAGTCCCTGAGAAGATGGGGGTGGGGTGAGGGGACCTCAAGTTGTCTACCTGAAAGTGGACTGTAAGTGCTGTGTTTGAGGTTTGGAGGGAAGGGCTGGCATCACTTGGCCATCCAAGTTGACTCATCCAAGTGTGTCTCCAACTGTCTACAGGGAAGCCTGGCAGCATCAAGAAGGCCGAGGAGGAAGAAGAAATCGACATTGACCTGACAGCACCTGAGACAGAGAAGGCAGCCCTTGCAATCCAGGGCAAGTTCCGGCGATTCCAGAAGAGGAAAAAGGATTCCAGCTCCTGAATGGCCAGGCCTCTCCTTCACCCTTCTACTTCCTCTCCCCCTCCACAGCTCTGACTCTCACGTGTCTCGTCCCTTCATCCCTCTAGCCTCTCCCTGAGGCAAGCTTAACCTTCATATACTCTTGTCTCAGGCTCGTAAGCCATCACAGTAGTAGAGGCACAAGGACACGAGAAAGCGAAGTCTCTAGTTGGTAGTCACTAGGGTGGATCAGTCCACTTAGGAGAACTGAAGGTTTTGAGGTTTGACTCTCCCCTTCGCCTAGTGCTAAGGGCAGGAGGGGAAAGCCCTCAGAGTGCAGAGTCTCAAGGTGGGGCATGTGTAGGCTTCTGTCAGTTGCACCATTAGCAACACTTCAGTTAACACTTCAGCTCCTTCTGCACAACCCCTCCTGTCTCCCGTGATTCAGCCACAGTGCAGCTGACCTTTCTTCCCTGCAGACCTAAATCAAGGAGCTTGCAGAATATGGGGGTGCATGTCTTTAGTCCCAGAACTTGCAAGGCAGAGGCAGGTGGATCTTTATGTTCAAGCCAGCCTGGTTGACATAGTGAGTTCCAGGTTAGTCAAGGTTACATAGACCCTGTCTCAAAAATGCAAAAAAAATAAAAAAACAAAAACAAAACAAAAAACCTGCCCGTGCAAAAATAAATATAAATAAGTGAGGCAGCTTAATACATTAGTGCATGCTGAGTAGATTCCTCCCAGGGAAAGAAAGCTGGGGCTGGTGGAGGCAAGGAGAAGCTTCCTTCATCGTTCAGACTGAGGTCAGAAGAGCCAGAGATGGCAGAAGGTTCAGGGACTACAGGCCGGGAAATGAAAACTAAGAAACGTTTAGGAAGGAAAGCAAAGCAAAGATGGTCAAGATGTCTGAAGCTACACGCTGTTATTGTTAACTAAATACTCCATGAGGGGCTCTTTGGCCTTTGCTAACCTGCCTACCTCTTTACCTGCCCCCGTCTCTAGTCATCCCCAGAGCCATGTGAACCAAGTGACACCCCTATAGTTCTCAACCACCTTGCTGTGGAGTCAGGGCAAACATCGCTACTGTATGTGACTTTAGCATGTTTAATAATTATGACAATAAAAAAAGCCCTCAAATGAGGCACTGAAGTTCTACTAGTGGTTTATGTGGGTACCTCTACTAGTGGCGTGTGTTAAGTGTATGTTTTCCCCTTGAGCTGAGCATGAATGTGAGTCTAAGCTGGCCCAGGGAGGGTGGCAGAGAAACCACATGGATCACATGAGGTGGCACAGGAAACTAACACAGCCTGAGTACACTCCAGCTGAAGCTAAGCCTGCCCTCCTTCTCCTGCCCTTGCCCTCACCTTGATGCACCACCCACACTGTGTCTCTCTGCTGCTGTCACCACCCCCAGGGTACACCTGCAAGGGTGACATCTTCCTGCTCTCCTGCCAGCTCCAAGCACACTTGGTACATATCTCTGAAAACAAACCTATTCTCTCTTGCTTCTTATCCCCAAATGACCTATTCTAGATTTCCCTCCGACTTGGTCTTCCTCCCAGATTCTCCCCTCCCCTCCTATCATTTATAAACTTAAGAGACAGAGACGGTGACTCTGGACACTGATGAGTTCCACTGTCACACTGAAGGTTCTAATGAGAAGTCAAATAAAAATAATGCTTTTCAAGTGAGCTAACATTGCTGAGAAATGGTTTCTGCACATTCAAATGACTGAAAATTGAGCAAAAAAAAAACCCATTTATACTTGCCTTGCTCCTTTTTATTTTTCTGTGGGGGAGAGTGGTTGTCTACACTAACCAGGCATGGTGCACCACATCTTTAATCCCAGCACTCGGGAGGCAGAGACAGGTAGATCTCTTGAGTTCGAAGATAGTCTGGTCTACAGAGCAAGTTCCAGGACAGACAAACCTACACAGAGAAACTCTGTCTTGAGAAAAACAATTAAAAATCAGAACAAAACAGACGGTTTTACTATGTAATCTAGGCTAACCTAGGACTTGCTATATAGCCCAGGCTGTCTTTGAACTCACGAACTTACTACTGCATTAGCCTCCCAAGTACTAATGACTTTTATTTTGGAAAACTTTGTAAAGCATAAAGCTTACCATTTTTGCCACTTTTTATCAGTTATTTTTAGTTTGTGTATACTATGAGTTGGGGGTTTTGCGATACTTATTTTCTGTGCATCAGTGTTTTGCTTGCATATGTCTGTATACCATGTTTATGCCTGGTACCCTTGGAACTGGACATATAGTTCAGTTGTCTCACCATGTAGGTTTTCAGAAACAAATCCAGGTTCTCTGAAAGAACAGCCAGTGTTCTTAATGGCTAACATCTCTCCAGTCCCCAAATCATTTTTATTTTATGAAATATTATGAAAGTATTTTCCTGCATGTATGCATGTGCACCATGAGCGTCCCTAGTGTCTGCAGAGGCAAGAAGACGGCACTGGATCCCTGGAACTGGAGGTACAGGTGATTAAAAGCTGCCATGTGGGTGCTGGGGACTGAATTCAGGTCCTCTGCAAGAGGACTATCTCACCAGCCCCCAAAATTTATCTTTTAAATAACTCCCTTCCTCTCTTTTCCCAACCTCTGTAAACTATTGTTCTACTGATGTCTCTGTGGTTTTCTTTTATTTTTCTTTTAAAGACAGGATCTTACCATGCAGCATCCTGAAACTCAAGATTCTCCTCTGAGGGCTGAGATTATAGGAGTCTACCACCACGTCTAACTCCCTTCCCTGTTTCAGTCTAAGACTGTAGAAGTCAAAACCATTCATCAGCCACAAGTAAGACACAAACGACTAACTCTGAAGGCAGGCTGTACTCCAGAGTGTATTCATGCCTAGCAGGCCCGGGGCTATGGGATATTAATAGACTTGAATAGCAATTCACAGGAGGGCCCTCTGCTAAAGGAAGGGCTTCTTCCTGATGCAAGAGAAAAGGAGGACGTTTCATTGTTATGTTTGGAATCTGATAGGAGTGCAATATAATGGCAATGCTAGCCTTTTATCTTAGCCTCCCAGGCGAATAAAAAATAAGCTCATTGCTATACCTGGAATGTGTCCAGTGCACCCTGGTAAAATAAGAGTCCTCCCTGGGCTAGAGAAACGGGTGCATTGTAAAAGTGCTTGCTGCTTTTCCAGAGGAAACGAGTTGGGTTCGTAGTACTCAGTTCAGGGATAAGTCCAGCTCCAAGGGATCCAGTGCTCTCTTCTAGCCTTTGTGGACCCTCAAACACACACACACATACACACATATGCACACACACACTCGAGCACACACATACACACACACATACACACACACACACATACACAAACACGCATACACACACACACATACACACACACACCCCAAATCATTTAAAATCAATGTATAGAGTAATCCCTGTCCCTTTAGTCCATGAATGATATAAGACTTGTCAGGCACTCTACCTTGGTCTGCCCCTATAACACAAGGGGGGAGGATTCCTCTGTTGACAGCCTGTCTCTAATGAACTGCCACTTGGGGGATCCACTGAGCCATTGAGTCACTCTGATCTGGAGTCTGTTGAAGCCCCGAACTCTGTGCTTTTTTTTCTCCCCATTACTTTATAGCTGACTTTACAGCTCAATTGCAGCGCCCTCCCACGTTCATATACATTTTTTAAAAATGTTTATTTATTTTGTATATGTCTTACTGTCACTCTCTTCAGACACACCAGAAGAGGGTGTGTCAGATCCCATTACAAATGACTGTGAGCCACCATGTAGCTGCTGGGAATTGAACTCAGGACCTCTGGAACAGCAGTCAGTGCTCCTAACTGCTGAGCCATCTCTCCGGCCCCTCACATACATTCTAATAAGAGGCATGAAAACATTGATTTGAGAAAGATAATTTTGACCAAAAAGAGAGACCTGGCCACCTTCGGCTAACTCAGCAGTCATTCTCAGTACAGGCTTGGCTTTAAGGGGTTGGCTTCTCCCCAGTCTGCTTGTTCCTCATGCTTTGAGCTGAGTTGCGTCTCGCTGCCTCCCAGGAACACCCTTGAGCCCTGCGCTTTTGATGGGCTCTCTTTGGGGCCCTGCAAGAATCAAGAAATGATTCTTGAATACTGATCACAGAGGGACTTTTCTCTAGTGTTTCATCTTGTGGAACAAAACCTGGAAATCTCTGTGTGCTAGAGAGAAGCTGTTGTAAAGGCATTGGCGAAGATAAGCAGAAGAGAATAAACAGACACGGATCAAGGCTGGGTATGCCTGTGATCTTAGTACTCGACGCTGGAGGCAGGAAGAGCAGGAGTTTAAGGTTATCCTTTGTAGCTTTTCTTATTTTTCTCACTACTTTGTGGGTTCTTCTCCTTACTGTCTCCTAACACTGTCTTCTCCACCCCAACGGTCTCAATTTTCATTCTGCTCCATCTCTTTTCTGCTCCATCTTCTCCTCTCCAGCCCCACTCAGTCTTCTTTCTTCCTGCACATCTTCTCTAAGCTTATTCCCATCCTCCTCCAATCCTACTCTCTTCTGCCAGCTGGACCCTGTTCTTCCCAGAAGTCTGAGAGGCAACAGACACTGAAGGTCATAGGGTCAAACAGTTCTAAGGATTAAGCATTCCCGAAGGGCCATTTGACTAGCAACTGGGGATCCTTTAAAGAGCCAGGCATACAAAATAAATCACGCGATAATCCTTGGCAATGCACGTAGTTTGATGCCAGCCTAAGCTACATAAAACTTTCTATCAATTCCCACACCCCAAAAAGTTTAAAAGGAAAATAAACTTGTGTGCACATTACTTATGACGACAAATGTGTGGGTCCCCTCACGTCTAGTGGTTCTCTCACTCTCAGGATACCCTATCCTATAGTATTGACACCAGGTATCCAGAATCAATGCTACCCTGTGACTTACACACCTAGCTAATGAGCTGCCAGTCAGAGAACTTCCCCATCCTATGCAGTGATGCACTGCAATGGCTCATAGAACTGGGGGAAATTCCTTATGATTGTCGCCGCTGTCTTCTAAAAGATACAGCTCAGAGGCCACTGTGGTAGTGGGCACTTGCAGTTACAGAATTTGGGGATTCTGAGGCAGGAGGATTAGGAGTTCATGGGCAGCCTGGCCTAGATAGTGACATAGAGGTGAAGAGAAACAGGATAGACTCCCCTACTTGCCTCCTAAGAAACAGCTACAAAAATGCAAGAAATAAACAGAGCAAGGCATAAGGTGAACAGAATCTTGCGCTCCACCTTTGGACATGTTTCTGGCACACAGACGTTCGCCAATCGGAAAGCCCTCTGAACCTTGAACCCTAGATTTAGAGCTTTTATAGATTCATCATTACATAAGCACAATTGGCTGTTGGCGAGTAAATCAATCCCTATGCCCCCTCCCCTTCCTGGAGATCAGAGCTGGGCTAAAAACTCCAATTCTCAAAGCAGAAAGTCTGCTTCCTAGGCAGTCAGCCTGAGGCTGCCTTCCAGGAGGCTGCTTGGAGCCGTCCTGTCACTAACATCAGCTCTGGTATAGCTGAATAAGGCTTTTGAGTTGAGGTAGTGCATGCTTATAATCTCAGCACTCAGGAGGCTGAGGCAGGTGGATTGCTTTGAGACGAAGACTAGCCTGCAGCTACACAGGGAATCTGAACTTGAGGTCACCTTGAGCCATCATGTTAAGGGCTTAGGAAGATAGAATTCCCCTCACTTTCAAAATGCTAGAGGTTCTAGGATTATTGTGCCAAGACATAGCCACGTTTATTACTTCATCCAAGAGGATGAAGATCAAACATATGTTTCTAGTTGGAACTAGTCCAAGACTTGGGAGTAAAAGAATTTACCAGTCTAGAATTAATATGAAAGTTTAATAAAGAATAAACACTTGAGACAGAAGTATGGTAGACGGGGCTGCAGAGATGGCTCTGCAAGCAGGACCCAAGCTTGGTTCCTAGTTTCTATGTGGGGCAGCTCACAACTGCCTATAACTCCAACACCAAGGATCTGATGGCCTCTCATGGCTTCTGTGAGCACTCTCAAGTATGTACACAAGCACACACACACACACACACACAGAGGCAGACAGAGAGACATGGAAACAGGGAGAGAAAGAGACAGACAGACAGACAACAGACAGACAGCAGACAGAGACAGAGAGACTC